GCTATATCCTTCTACCTCTATCCAGGTTAATACTTCCATTCACGCCTGCTCGATACTCTGGCTGCTCCATCCACTTTGCTACGCTCAATTGAATTCACTCTGAGTGATCTGTATCGACACTACCACTTCTGCGTAACGGAGAATTGATCGTCGATGGCAAGTTGTTAAAGCCAATCCATCCCCAAAAATAACATTCAAACCCATTTAGTGTCAATCACCAATAAGTCCTGGTATTAGCTCCCTACCACAAATACCAGATGGTGCCACTTCTTACACTCTCTACATGACATTACACCCACTACCTTGTATGCGATATTCCAGCTTGCATCTAAATACGATCACATGGTATAGTATGTCTGTTGAGATGAACTGGGCAGATGATAAAACAGTGCCGATGCCCGGAATCAAATTAGGAGTAAACGCAGGCGACTGAATTAAACCAAAATGGTACCTGTGACTTACATCACCAGATGTGTCTGCCTGCATCTCAGCAGTAGTGTCAGGACCTGACCTATGTCTCTGCCTGCTGAGTTCGTCCTGACCATATTGCCCTGAGCGCCTCGCTGATCATGGAAACATTTGTTGCTTGAGTAGGCACAAGTGCGGCCTCGCTGTTGTACATCTTGTCCTAGGCCTGGCTGCTAGGCTACTATTGTGCCACCTTGAAGCTTCTCCTGAAACTCTTCTACTTAGGACAAGTGCGGCTAAGCTGATTCTGCGGCCCCACATATTTAGCACAACCGTTGCTTCCTGCTAGTCCCTTCGATCAAGCTGCCCCGGCTTCTTGCAATAATGGCCAAATCATGTTGTATGGTTTGTGGCACTTGGTTCGTCGAAAGTTCCTGTCTGCTAGCGCTTGGGCTGGTGTGCCTCCCCCCGTCATGAGGTTTGCTGCCGGTTAACTTCCGACGTTCGGTCCTGCAGGCGCTATTTGTCCTCTCGCTCACAGTAGTTCATGATCCCAATCAAATTGTTCACTTTTCTAGCCCTGCTTCTAAGACATCAGCCATAAGTCTCAACCCCTTCTGACTATAAATTATGTGTCTGAATCTCAAAATTTAGACCCTGCATGGGGAACCTTCTGTCCCTTATCCACCTCATTCGACACGCATCCCATGGCGGCAAATCTACTGAGCTTAGCAAAATCTGCTGCATACTCATCTACAGTATTGTGCCTCTGTCTAGCATTCAAACTGCCTTTGTATCTCCAAGACGAGCTGTCCTCCGGGAGAAAAAGGTCTCTAGAAAAACTCTCTCGGAATCATCTCTCCACGAAATTTGGCTTCAGGCAGCTTCCCCTCCTCTGCGTCCCCACAGCCGTCCTGCGCTACCATTAATGAGCTGCGCTGCTTATATAATATCATCGGTCTTCATCGGGTATTTCCTCGCTAGCCCCTTAGATAGGCCGGTCCTGGTTTGCAACACATTCTCAGAGCACTCATATCCGCTTCAGTCCCGGCAAAGTGTTGCGGTACTTTCCGAAATCTGACACATTGCCTCGGCTTGCAACACCCCAGTCTGTTGACATCCTCTGGGTGATTTTGAGCTACCAAGCTCCCTCAATCGCTTCTGCAAGATCAGCTGGATGACTTGGTGTCCCTAGGAAAACTTGGAGTAGGAGGTCGACGTTTTGGGCGCCATAAGTAAATCACCTGAATGAGATTGGTTAAGATTAATGATCTGAGAATCAGGATACTAGGAAACCAAAGGTCGTATTTTCTGAAAAAAGAAACTTATACTATACATGCCTTATTTGGTCAATTCTTAGTTTGTACTGTCGTATACAGGAACGAGTACAAACAAAATTTACTAAAATCTGCGGCTCTCGATACAATAAACCTTTTTTTTTTCTTTGTTCCCGTGAGCAAGCATTGAACTTGCTTGTTAAAAGAAAGAGAAAAAGTGACTAGGGGACATGGGGAGTGATTTGTGGAGGGAATTAGGGAGTGGGAGACAAGAGTGGGAGACAAGAGTGTTTTAGGGAGAGGTTTGGGGAGAGGGGACAAAGATGTAAGGTGCTTTGGAATCTAGTGAGGGAGTTACGGAGAAATAAAAAAAACACATAAGAAAGAGTGGGTTAGGAAAAAAGAAAATTAGGGGGAAAGGTTAGGGGTATTACATCTCACCCACCTTAAAAAGAAATTTCGTCCTCGAAATTAAATCCAAGCACAGGAGATAGACATTACCGATAATAAAGAGATGTGGATAACGCTGTCGAATATCATCCTCTCGTTCCCATGTAGCCTCGCCAGGTCCATGGTGTGCCCAGGATACCAATACTAGAGGGATGGTCCTATTCTTGAGGATCTTCTCCTGTCTGTCCAAAATCTTCATGGGTCGCTCCTCATAGGATAGGTTCGTCCCAACTTGAAGCTCTGCGATGTCTAGAACGTGGGCCTCATCTCGCACATATCGTCGAAGCTGTGATACGTGGAAGACATCATGCACTCCCTCCAATGATGGAGGCAAAGCTAGCCGGTATGCCACTTCTCCTACTCTCTCCAATATCTCAAAAGGACCAATGAAACGTGGACTAAGCTTCCCGCGGATTCCAAATCTGATAACTCCTCTGGTTGGAGATATCCTCAAGAAAACATGCTCTCCAACCTGAAACTGTAGAGGTCTCCTCTTAGCATTCGCCCAGCTCCTTTGCCTATCTTGAGCCGACCTAAGGCGCTCCCGTATTGTTTTTATCTTGTCTACTGTCTTTACTATCATCTCAGGACCTAGCAGACGCCGTTCTCCCAAGTCATCCCAACAGGCAGGAGATCTACACTTCCTTCCATATAATGCCTCATAAGGTGCCATTTGGATGCTGGCTTGATAACTGTTATTATAGGAAAACTCCACCAAGTGTAAGTGATCTTTCCATGGGCCCTTGAAATCCAGCATGCATGCCCGCAACATGTCCTCCAGTATCTGTATAGTCATCTCCGATTGTCCATCTGTCTGAGGGTGGTAAGCTGTACTGTAACGCAACCTAGTCCCAAGACACTGCTGCAAGCTCCTCCAAAAGTGCGATAAAAATCGTGTGTCTCTATCAGAAATAATGCTAACAGGTACCCCATGCAATCGTACTATTTCCCTCATGTATAGCTCTGCTAAACTCTCTGTCGTCTGTCCAACTCGAAATGGTATGAAGCGAGCTGACTTTGTGAGTCGGTCCACTACTACCCATACAGCATTATTTCCCTTCTGACTCCTCGGTAGAGCTGTGACAAAGTCCATTGTAACATGTTCCCACTTCCACTCAGGAATAGGAAGGGGCTGTAGTAACCCAGCTGTTCTCTGATGCTCAACCTTCACCTGCTGACATATTAGACATTTTGACACAAATCGGGTTATCTCCATCTTCATTCCCGGCCACCAGTAATGCTCTCTCAAGTCTCGATACATCTTTGTGCCTCCTGGATGAATAGAAAGTACTGAACTATGTGCCTCCTCTAACAGCTCTCTTCTAACATCACCCTTAGGCACACATAGCCTACCACAAAATCGCAAGGATCCATCCTCATGTATTTGTAGATCAGTTCTCTCCCCAGACTCCACTTGTTTCTTAAATTTTTGGTACCGAGCATCCTCAAACTGGGTAGCTTTGATCCGGTCCACCAGAGTTGATTGTAAATGTAAACTCATCAACTGTCTCCCTGCTCTAGGCAATAAAATCTCCAGATTCATCCTCCAGAACTCAGCTAGCAACTCCCGCTGTTTGGTAAGTCTCATCACCACAGGCTTCCTGCTCAAATGATCTGGCACCACATTAACTCGTCCTGGGTGATATTGTAAATCAAGATCATAATCTGCCATCAGCTCTAACCATCTCCGCTGCCTCATATTGAGCTCCTTCTGAGTGAAAATATACTTTAAACTTTTATGATCTGTGTATATCTCGACTCTCTGCCCTAACAGATAGTGCCGCCATAGCTTCAATGCAAAAATTACCGCCGCTAATTCCAAATCATGAATTGGGTAGTTCTTCTCATGTGTTTTCAGTTGTTTAGATGCATAAGCTACTACCTCCCCATGTTGCATCAGAACACAACCTAAGCCCAAGCCAGAAGCATCGGTGTGTACTACAAATCCTCCTGACTCATTCGGAATTGTCAAAACTGGTGCAGTCGTCAACTTGTTCTTCAACTCCTCAAATGCTGCATGACACTCATGAGTCCACACAAACTTTACCTCCTTCCGAGTCAGCTTAGTAAGTGGTCCTGAAATTTTGGCAAAATCCTTTATAAATTTCCTATAGTATCCAGCCATCCCCAAGAAACTTCGTACTTTTGTAACACATGTAGGCGGATCTAACCTCAACACCGCATCAACCTTCTTAGGGTCTACAGAGATACCTACTCCTGAAATTACATGCCCCAGAAAGGACACTTGCTCCAGCCAAAACTCACACTTGTTCAATTTTCCATAAAGCTTTTCCTTCCGCAGGATTTCCAACACCGTCCGCAGATGCTCTGCATGATTTTCCTTAGTCTTGGAGTATACAAGAATATCATCGATAAATACCACCACAAATTGGTCCAGATACTGGGAAAACACCTTGTTCATCAAGCTCATAAATGTAGATGGAGCATTTGTCACTCCGAACGGCATCACCAAAAACTCATAGTGCCCGTAACGTGTGCGGAATGCTGTCTTGGGTATGTCTTCCTTCCTCACCTTCAACTGATGATAACCTGACCTGAGATCCAGCTTAGAAAACACTCTAGCTTCTCCGAGCTGATCAAAAAGATCATCAATCCTGGGAATGGGGTACTTATTTTTGATAGTAACCTGATTCAACTCCCTGTAATCAATACACATCCTTCGGCTACCATCCGGCTTTGGCACTAACACCACTGGTGCTCCCCAAGGTGAAGTACTAAGCCTGATAAATTTCTTATCAAGATACTCCTGGACTTGCTTTCGCAGATCCTCTAAATCTGCTATCGGCATCCGATAAGGTGGTTTTGAGATAGGTGCAACCCCTGGAATAAGATCGATGACGAACTCTATATCTCTATCTGGGGGTAAACCCGGCAACTCATCAGGGAAAACATCAAGAAATTCCTTGATAATTTCTGGAATGGGCTTATCCTCTACCCTTCGGCTACCATCCGGCTTTGGCACTAACACCACTGGTGCTCCCCAAGGTGAAGTACTAAGCCTGATAAATTTCTTATCAAGATACTCCTGGACTTGCTTTCGCAGATCCTCTAAATCTGCTATCGGCATCCGATAAGGTGGTTTTGAGATAGGTGCAACCCCTGGAATAAGATCGATGACGAACTCTATATCTCTATCTGGGGGTAAACCCGGCAACTCATCAGGGAAAACATCAAGAAATTCCTTGATAATTTCTGGAATGGGCTTATCCTCTACCTCTATCCAGGTTAATACTCCATTCACGCCTGCTCGATACTCTGGCTGCTCCATCACTTTGCTACCGCTCATGAATTCAAACTCTGGGTGATCTGGTATCTTGAACACTACACTTCTGCGTCGGCAGTTGATCGTCGCATGGAAGTTGTAAAGCCAATCCATCCCCAAAATAACATCAAACCCATTAGTGTCAATCACCAATAAGTCTGTAATTAGCTCCCTACCACAAACTACCAGTGGGCACTTCTTACACTCTCTACATGACATTAACACCCCACTACCTGTATGGATATTCCAGCTTGCATCTAAACGATCACATGGTATAGTATGTCGTGAGATGAACTGGGCAGATATAAAACAGTGCGATGCCCCGGAATCAAATAGGGTAAACGCAGGGACTGAATAAACCAAAATGGTACCTGTGACTACATCACCAGATGTGTCTGCCTGCTCAGCAGTAAGTGTCAGGACCTGACCTTGTCTCTGCTGCTGAGTTCGCTGACCATATTGCCCTGAGCGCCTCTGCTGATTCTGGAACATTTGTTGCTGAGTAGGAAGTGCCGGCCTCCGCTGTTGTACATCTTGTCTAGCCTGGCCTGCTGGTACTATTGTTCCACCTGAAGCTTCTCCTGAAACTCTTCTACTAGGACAAGTGGTAAGCTGATGATCTGCCGCCCCACATATTAGGCACAACCCGTTAGCTTTCCTGCAGTCCTTCATCAAGTGCCCCGGCTTCTTGCAATAATGGCAAATCATGTTGGTTGGTTGTGGCACTGGTCTCGAAGTTCCTGTCTGCTAGCGCTTGGCTGGTGTCCCTCCCGTCTGAGGTTTCTGCTGGTTACTTCCGGACGTCGGTCCTGCAGGGCGCTTGTTTGTCCCTCTCCTCACAGAGTTCATGATCCCAATCAATTGTTCCACTTTTCTAGCTGCTTCTAAGACATCAGCATAAGTCTCAACCCCCTTCTGACTATAAATTTGTGTCTGGATCTCAAAATTTAGACCCTGCATGAACCTTTGTCCCTTATCCACCTCATTCGACACCATCCCAGGGGCAAATCTACTGAGCTTAGCAAATCCTGCTGCATACTCATCTACAGTACTGGTCCTCTGTCTTAGCATTACAAACTGCCTTTGTATCTCAAGACGAGCTGTCCTCGGGAAAAATGTCTCTAGAAAACTCTCTCGGAATATCTCCCACGAAATTGGCTTAGGCAGCTTCCCCTCCTCTGCGTCCCACCAGGTCCTGGCTACATTAATGAGCTGCAGCTGTATAATATCCACTCGGTCTTCATCGGGTATCCTCGCTGCCCTTAATAGGCGGTCCATGGTTTGCAACCACATCTCAGCCTCATATCCGCCTTCAGTCCCGGCAAAGTGTTGCGGGTTGAGCTTCCGAAAATCTGACACATTGCCCGGCCTTGCAACCCGTTGTTGCACATCCCTCTGGTGATTTTGAGCTACCAGCTCCCTAATCGCTTCTGCAAGATCAGTCTGATCGACTTGGTGTCCCTCAGGAACAACTGGAGTAGGGGGTCGACGTTTTGGGGCCATAGTGATCACCTGAAATGAGATTGGTTAAGATTATGACTTGAGAATCAGGATACTAGGAACCAAGGTCGTATTTCTGAAAAAGGAAGGACCTATACTATACATGCTCTATTTTGGTCAATTCTTAGTTTGTACTTGTATACAGGACGAGACAACAATTACTAAATCTGGGCTCTGATACCAATAAAACCCTGTCACGCCCCAGTTCCAAAAATCAAATAACTTGGAGCGTGACTTGGCCGGCAATGCAACCATACGGTCACATTCACGCCTCTGGATCATTCTGTATACAGATATTTTACCTAAAGAACCACTACATAGAGCATGTAACTAAGACAACAAGGGGAAAAATAGATAGATAATGAAATCTTTGATAAGACAGAGTTCTAATACAAGTCCACAACTATCCAAAGTAGGAAAGAGAAATAATACATCATAGTCTGAAACCCACAGATTATTACATGAAAAGTCTCATAACTACCTAAGACAAGTTGATTTGGGAACTGATAGAATAACGGTGATCACTGCCGCTGGACTTGATCCTCAAAATACTCTTGGTCCTGCGAAGAAAGGAAAGTCCCCGAGTCTAGGGCGAGCAAACCCCAGGGGAGTCAGAAAACTCCCAGCAAGCATGTAAAATGAGGAAGTTGTGCACAAAATGTAAATTAAATGTGACTAAAGAAAAACTACTTGTAGATATCCAAAAAAAATCTATCACCAAGCATATGCACACAAAATTCTAAATTTTATATGTTGTTTGAATTTTGAGGAGAATATTACCATGTATATAAATCGGCTTTCCCGTAATACGTCCCGGGAATACGGCGACAAGTATCGGCCATTGGCCTTATGATTTAAAATATCAGGTATGTACATGAACCACTTATATACACTTTATATTCTCCGTCCAAATTCCCCTTTATTAACCCCATATTTTCAGTTTAATTTAAGTGACTGTGCATGAAATGTTGTGTACTAACCACAGAGTTACCGTGGAACGACTTCTGTAAAAACTATGAAAATAACCGTGAACCAAGAACATGTCCAATCAAGAACAGGTGCACCGTCTAGTCGGTGCTATAATAATAATAGCCAAGGAAATCTCATATCAGGATATAGATATCGAGAGCATAGCCATGCTATGAAAGCACGCTTATAAATCATATTTTTAACAGGAGTCGTCTTCATGCACAGTCTCTCCTATTGGATAACAACTGGGTGATCAAGCATACCATCAGAAGATCCAAAAACATCCACAGAACAAACAATATCATCATTTATCTCAATACAAAAAAACTAACTAGCATAATTGTTTAGTGTCGAACAATAAACAATTTTAAAAGTTAACTTCATACAAATATGAAAACTAATTTTTAGTAAGCAAAAGAGACCCAAACGGGTCTAAAAATTGATATTGAAATCCTAACTGGGTCAACCAGGTTTGAAATTTAGGGTTTAGACCTGAATGGGCTTGGAAAATGATTATGGGTCCAAACTGGTTTTTTTTTTCTGGTTCAGAAGGGTTCTGGTCTGGTTCAGTCGAATCTGGTCTGGTTCAAACTGGGTTCTAGTCTAATCCAAATTGGGTTTGGGTCTGGTTTAATACTTAATCCGAACCGGTCAATGTTGGGTTCGGGTCTGATTCAATACTTAGTCTGAACCGGTCTAGGTTGGGTTCGGGTCTGGTTCAAGTCCAAACCGACCCAAAATATAAAATTTTGAGAAAATTTAAGGTGCTGGGATTCGAACTCTAGACCATTGTGTTATTTTCAAAAGTAACTAACCACTACAACTATACATATTTCATATCAAAGATAATACAGATAATAATTTAAAAGTCAGTTTCTACATTTATTTAAAAGTGTAGCTTATAGGATTCGAACCCAAGACCAAGGGTTTAGAAACCAAGTCATGTGACCACTAGGCTAACCACACATATGTGATAACAAATGCTGCAGTAAACAAATTAAACTATTTCGTTACAACAAAAAAAAAATTCTAAACAAAAATTAGAAATCTTCAAAATTACTTATTTATTATTATTATTATTTATATAACTATACTGACCGAAAAAGATAATTTCGGAAAAATAAAATTTATTAGTTTATTAGGTAAATGTTTTTGTAGAAACATTTTTACATGAAAAAGAGGTGATTTTCTCATTTAATGTCGTTACAAAAAATGTGATAAATCCTAAAATATAAAGAATATAAAAAAAATTTATTTTCTCATTTAATGTCGTTACAAAAAATGTGATAAATCCTAAAATATAAAGAATATAAAAAAAATTTATTGTATATTAGGATTTCCCAATCAACATTTTATATCAATTAAGGGGAAAAAAAATTATGGACTATTATGAACTGTAACTCCACAAGGAATTTCACCTTCATGTGAAAAAAAACTTAGAATAACCCAAAACCTGGAATGCCAATAAGGAAAAATAAAATTCTAATAAAATCTATCTAATAATTAATTATCATAACTCTAGGATGAGAATACTAATAATTGGATAATGTAATGATGAAAATAAAAGATTGAGGATGAGAAATGCTTGCCAAAAAGTCGAATTAAATTTCCCAAATAGCCAAAAGAATAATTGGTTTTTTTTTTCTTTGTTCCCGTGAGCAAGCATTGAACTTGCTTGTTAAAAGAAAGAGAAAAAGTGACTAGGGGACATGGGGAGTGATTTGTGGAGGGAATTAGGGAGTGGGAGACAAGAGTGGGAGACAAGAGTGTTTTAGGGAGAGGTTTGGGGAGAGGGGACAAAGATGTAAGGTGCTTTGGAATCTAGTGAGGGAGTTACGGAGAAAAAAAAAACACATAAGAAAGAGTGGGTTAGGAAAAAAGAAAATTAGGGGGAAAGGTTAGGGGTATTACATATACATACGTAATATATCACAATACGATTTTCACATCATATAGTATTCACGCATATACTTTAAGCAAAAATAACTGTCATAAAAAAAGTTCTTAAAATTTTGAAATATACGCATATACCATCCTCACTCATACTAGGAAATCCTTAGCAGACTCTATACATGAATCCTAAGAAACTCTAACCTAGATCCACGACTTGACATATGATGATCCTAAGGATACTAGAACTAGAGCTCTGATACCAACTGTAACGCCTCTGGGTTCACACAAGGCTACAGTCCGAGGTGAAACTAGGAATATCAAACCTGCCATGCACCACACCGTGCAATAACATGTTTCACCATCACAATTACTATCTCTCTAGCGTCAATCAGCTCGTGTGCGTCGGTCAACACGTGCTTGTCAATCAGCTCGAGCATGTCCGTCAACACGCGCGCGTCGATCAGTTCGTGCGCTTCGGTCAACACGCGCGCGTCAACCAACACGCGCGCGTCAACCAACGCGCGCACATCAACCAACGCGCGTTCGACGGTCAGTCACGCAATGAAGCTTGGGAAGAAGACAAAAGTAAAATTCGGCACCGCTATTCATAATACCCAAGGTATATTGGACTACATTCACACAGATGTTTGGGGCCATTCCAAGCACACATCACTTGGTGGGGCTAACTATTTTGTTACTTTCATTGATGACTATTCCAGGAGGAATTGGGTATACCCGATGAAGTATAAACATCAGGTCCTGGATATTTTTATGGAGTGGAAGAAGAAAGTGGAGCTGCAGCGTGACGCCCCTGGGTTCACACAAGGCTGCAGTCAGAGGTGAAACCAGGAATGTCAAACCTGTCATGCGCCATACCGTGTAATAACATCTTTCACCATCACAATTACTATATCTCTAGTGGAATCAACAACAGGTGTAGGTGCAAAGCAAGTAAAAGATTTTGTAAAAAATACATGATGAAATGATAGATCTCGGATTAATAAATCTCATCAACCAAATAAGCTGGAATACATAGTCAATGTCTGAAATGAATAATAACAGTCTGGAGATCTCAACATGTCTCAAAATACAAAACATCTGATACATGAAATAAGGCACACAGCCTTTACAACTCTAGAATATAAATCTCTCAAGTCTAAAAATGTCTCGAGTGGAGTACAAAAAATGAAATACATCTAATAAGAGGATAGACGGCCGCTAATAAAAATCGCCCTCAACCTGCGACTCTCCGGGCTCCGGGCTCGTTACCTGAAAGGGGGAGGAACAACGAGCGTCAAAGCGCTAGCGAGCAACATCACCACCAACCCCAAGGGATAGGGCTCATTGTATATGAAAATACAGTTAATACATAAAAATATAAAAATTATTTATACTAACCATAGTGGGTTTTAGTACTTAGGAAATTACAACACGAGCATAGGTACATTGAGCGAAATAATCCAAATAAGAAACACTCATGTATATACCTTGTATCTCAAATTGCAAATCCCTAAATACTAAACCCGAGGTTTAACACAAGAAACAATAAAGAAAAGAATACAAACCCATCTCTACCGATACAATTTAAACATGTCAAAGCTACAATAAATATCATGTCCAGCCTAGGTAGCTATCATGTCTCAGCCTCATATAATATGTCGTGTTCCAAACTCGGTTAAGAAACATACTCAAGGTTTAGCAATTATCTAACATAAGACTGTAATGGATTATTGTCCAACACGAGGACTTTAATGGATTATAGTCCAACATGAGGACTTTAATGGATTATAGTCCAACACGAGGATTTTAATGGATTATAGTCCAACACGAGGACTGTGTATATGAACCATGGAATACTAATAGTAAAGGTATACACATTCTACTCTTGTACATGCCTCGCTGTACAGATCTACGCTTGTGTCAGAAAAGTCATCTTACATGTGTAGATGAAATCATAAATACTACAATTTAATACCCGATAAACAAGACAACTTCTCATGTTCAAAAATAATAAACAGAACCATCAATTATATATGAACACTATATGAAAGTATAAGCACAGTAGGTGATCAAGCAGAAACACAAACGAAATAGGAAAAACTTCGATGAGTTGACTCATAATCAGCTATGAGTCAACTCATGACTCATGGGTCGACTCATAAACTAATGAGTCGACTCAGCAGACACTTATGAATAACAGGAATTGACTTCGTGAGTCGACTCATGACAGTCATAGGTCGACTCAACCTGATGAGTCGACTCATGATGAGTCATGAGTCGACTCACGAGCTAAAAACTGGTTATTTCACAACTACAGCTCGTCATCTCGTTCCATACTTCCACTACACTGATTTACACCTCCATAACTATCAATTCTAAACTATGAGACAATGAAAAAGAATTCATATCTAGCATGAGAAACGAACACTTTCATGTTAGATCTAACATTTAACCCCTAAACATGAAAGAGGGCATTTAAACAAATAAAACTCATATTTTCATTTCTTTAAATAAATTTCCAGATCTGGGTTTTCATTAAAAACTCGTTGGTGGGGATTTAAAAATCTAAAACACATGCTTTCTAGCATTTACACTAATAAGAACATTGATTTATACTTGAAAATAAGTCTTAGGCTCAATAAAACTCATAAAAAACGTTTATAAACTGTTAAAAATATGGGAGAATGATTTGGCGAGATGTTACTCGCCTTAGATGTGTTGAATAACGATTCCCCTCGCTGTAAACCACAAGGAGCTGCTGAAATCCCCCAAAAATCTCCTAAAAACATCCAAAAACGAACTAGGGTTTTGAGGGGGAGAGGAGGCTAGGGTTTCTCTGGGGAGAACTGATGAAAAGAGGTGTTTTCAGGTGGAGGAGAATATATATGAACAGTTAAAACCCGACCCGAAACCCAAACAAACCCGATCCATAAAAACCAGAAAACCATTGATAAGTCGACTCATGACTGTCATGAGTCGACTCATGACTCATGGGTCGACTCATAAGATAATGAGTCGACTCAGCAGAGACTTTTGACAATGTGAGTTGATATCATGAGTCGACTCATGACAGTCATGGGTCGACTCAACCTGATGAGTCGACTCATGATGAGTTATGGGTTGACTCATGAGCTAAAAACTGGGTTCTTCGACTTTGCTGCACATGATTTGCAAATTTGCAAACTCAACCTCATAACTGATGCATAAATACATTCTCATAAGCTCAAAACGCTAGTTTTCATGCACAACCATGTTATAAAGGTATTTATCATAAATAAATATTATTTTTCACTAATAATCACATATATAAATTATCAAAATCTACGGGGTCTTACATACTGACAGGTAGAAAGGTGAAGACTCTACGTTCAGATAATGGTGGAGAGTATAATAGTGATCCGTTTTTGCAGTTTTACTGGGATCACGATATTAGATAACACTTCACAGTTAGAGAGACACCGCAACAGAACGCGGTGGCAAAGAGATTGAACCGTACCTTGCTGGAGAAGGTGCAATGTATGATGACGCAGAGTGGATTGCCTAGATCCTTTTGGGCCGAAGCGTTGGTTTATGCGAGTCACCTCGTGAATAGGTTCCCGGGCACTGCAATACAGTGGAAGACTTCGTTGGAGCGTTGGTCTGGTTCGGTAGCTAGTGACTATGAATCGCTTCGGATATTTGGGTGTCCAGCTTATTACCATGTCAATAATGGTAAATTGAATCTGAGGGCGAGGAAAGGAGTCTTTGTAGGATTTAGAGATGGAGTTAAAGGCTTCAAGTTATGGGATCCACAGGACAAGAAGATAGTATGTCATATTTGACGAGGTATACATGATGAAGCCTTAAGTTCCTCAGTAGTTGGAGGAAGACTAGATTCAGGAGATATCACAACAGGTAGAGAATGATGTGACTCCACTCACTCCAGAGAGCATTGTATCCATCGAGGCTCCTACAGAGGTGACACTGAAAGGAGATGAGATGACAGCCGGGCATTTAGAGGATACAGTGGATGTTCGGACTCAGGAATAGGGTCATGTTCAGGAGTCCATTGCAGCTAATAGACCAAGAATAAATATTCGTCAGCCAGTTAGATATGACGATGTCATGGTTGCATATGCTTTATCAGCAGAGTCGTTGATGATTTGGTTCCTTTTACATCCAAGAAAGCAGAGTCAAGCTCTGATTCGAATAGGTGGAGGGAAGCCATGGAGGAAGAGATGCAGTCTCTTCATAAGAACGACACTTGGAAACTTGCAAAGCTACCGAAGGGTAAGAAGGTTATTGGATACAAGTGGGTGTATGCAAAGAAAG